TGGGGGGGTGGTGGTATATATTGAAAAGAGTTTCAGACGATATTATTTAATAGTTCTCAATATTTAATACAGTCCCTCCGTGTTTCATTTTTCATTTATCTGAATCAAAAATACTAATACAACCTGACGGACAAAATTAATGCGACAGACAACAATTGCATATCATTTCAACTTTCAATAGAATGGACATGACAGATAACCGTCCAAATTCCTTATTGAATAACCATGCACACTGAGGTATAGCATCACGTGAGACTTGACGTGTCCTACCGTCCCATAGAGACGGACGACAGCAGACAATACATACTTATACTGCTAGTATTCCGATTTCACGTACGACCTCTTCAGAATCTCCGACCCAATGTAACGACTCAAGAATCAATGGCCTCAGTCCCGTTAACTTATATTAAACCTCTCCGTTACAACTTTCTCATGACATGGTATTCACCAGAATATCACACTTATCTCAAAACCCCTTAATATTTGACTTGAAGATATTATAACGATGAGATATTTCCAAATTTTGTATGTTAATTGAAGTGTTTGGATTTTTATTCTGAAACGATTTGGCGAGTAATACATAATAATGTGTGTCTTGTGTGGATTCCTGTGGTAGATTTGATGAATACTCATTAAGTAGTTCTGTTGACTATTCATAACGTAGTTCTGTTTAAATATTCATTACGTAATGCTGTTAAATATTCATTACGTAGATCTGTTAAAATATTCATTAAGTAGTCCTGTCGACTATTCATTAAGTATTTCTGTTGAATATTTATTCATTAGGTAGTTTTGCCTAATAATAGTTCTATGAGAAAAGTGGAACAGATAACAGAGTCATGTAATACAGAGGTATCATACAACCAAAGATCACATGCGGTTCTGTAGGTGGGGAGAAGGATCCTACTATAAAGCGTAGCAGAATAAAGCCATATCCTCTGTGATTTCTGTGTAGGGGACACTGATGAATTTAAAACAGATCTGCTGCCTTGTTGCAATACATTCGACCTTTATATTTCCTTTCCGTTCTATCTACTTATTTCAGAGGTTGTCTATTTGGGCACCGGTCTTCATATGATCTTAATGCACGAGAGGACCTTAACCCTTGAAAAAAAACCAGTTAAACATACTAGGTTATTAATTTATATATACCGAAACATGACATGGTCATCAAGTGGTCTCATAAAGTGTACACTGCGTGTCGAATTGACCAGCATATATGTGTATATGACAAGGATTGTCTCAAATTTATACATGTTACGCATGTATTAATTAAGTTTGATGATTTATAATGTATTGTAAGCTGCCTGACGTTTATTTCCTCTCGTCAGTGAACATTCGATATCTAGTTTCGATGTTTCTTAAATCAAAGTGAACGGAGTGTGAATGATATGATAATCAGCCATTCTACATGTAGGTGAAATATGATAATAAACACTTAGTGTTCGTCATAATCATCATATCTACGTCATAGCGACGTCTTCTGACGTACTTACCGTACAACGGAATACATAGTTGAGAGCGGCATTGATGGGGAAGGCAGCTACCGACTCTTTCTCATCACAACACAACATGGAGGCACAGGGCATTTTTTCTGGTTTGTCTGACGCATAGCCTAGCGTTCCGTTACAACAGCGTGGTGCTCTCCTCCCCCCTGGCCCTCGGTCCCCGGACCCCACCTCCTCACGGCCTCGATATCCTCGCTGTTCGTGTGTCTGTCAATACAAAGAAAGGCCCTAATGCATTCTGTCTTAATCATTCCCGATCAAGGTCTACCAACGAGACTGGTTATATATGAATGTGAACGTGGATTTGACAAATCTCTTTTACCTTTTACACATGATTTAGCATCTATGAGGCTTGCGATGGGATATAAAGTTACAAAATATTAGATATGTTATTAACAAATACATGTTATTCTATATAGTGCTGAGTTTGTACTCTAGGTACTGTTTCATCAAGAATATCTAGCTTAAAGAGTTGAATATTAATCTTGTTTTGTGCGTCTTTTAAATGATAAATCTAAAAGTGTAACCTGCGTTGATCAACTCTGATAAAGATAGAAACTTATTCAGCTTATAAATAGTTTATCTAGCCAGATGAAAGGAACAATGGCTTCTGGATAAAAAATGTCCATAATGCACAAACGAGAGCCATCATACCAATTTTTAATCGATGCTGTTAAAGGCGAACCTCACATTATTAAAGTCAGTAGGAGTTATCGCCCTTCCTATGTGTTTATATATTTTCTGGAAGGAAAAGCGATACAGAAATTCACGGAAGTCTGAATTACTGCTAGAATTTCTAATATTCTTGTTTACTGAGCGGCATAACTTAATATTGTACCGTTACACGAACAATATATGCATGGTCATATGGTCGTCAAGTTACATTTCTTAAAAATATGCCGCTAAATTCAAGCGTTCAATTGACATTGAATGCATTGTTGTTTTCCTGTCGTCTGGCTGTCTATATAGCACAGGAATTTTCTCCGTTGTTGCTAGAGATTTGAAATTCATTTAAGCGGGACTTTACAATTCGTTAAATTATTTCGAATTTTACGAGCCGGCAAAGCCTTACCTAACTCAAATAACTCCCGTCTCAGGAAAAGTTTGTCCGTAAACTTAAACTTTAAACTTGTTTTATTTTATTAATGAATACATGTACGCTATAAAACAGTTACTTTAACCTCCCAATAATGTATACATAATGTATACCAACTAACCATATCAGTTATAAATGATGACGTGGATATAAAAACATTGTGTTTGTAGTCAGGAATATATCGCTATTTATTGTAAATATGACGTCAGTACTTCCAACGCCCGTCCAACGATATGAATATATTAATATCTCAATGTTTCATTGCCTACTGAAAAAAGGAAATTGGCGACGGCCTACAGGTATCTCCATTTCACATTCAGACACATAACATTGCATTATAAATATTGAATGCATGATTCATCAATCTGTTTGCAAATACGATAGTAAATCTCTATGTCGTCAGCGTAAAATCAGCATATTGATGAATAATCTATTGGCACATTATTAACGAAAAATTGTTGTTGAAACCTTCCGGCCAGACCTGTTTTGAATAAAGCTATGTGCCGTTTGCGATGGCATGCTCTGAGGCGGAAGCTGATTTCCCTGAGCCCCGGATGAGCTTCCAGACCCCCGGATGTGTATGGAGGCCAAACTGGCGGGCAGGCCTAATGGTGTGATTTATAATCCCCTTATTATCGCTGTGACAATTCCATCAGAAACGTTCCGGGTCCATTTAGGGGCAGACGTACCACCGGGACACAGTAAGACAATTTAATCCGCATTTCTCCTCACTTAGCGATAAATAACCGGTTCGCTTTTTGTAGTACCAAGACTGCCGCGAGCTTTGACTTACCCTATATAGTGTTAACGCTGATAGGTTTGTGACAACTCGTCTACATCAGCCATTATGAAAGCACTGGTATTGTTCCGAGCAGAAATCCTTATAATCAGTTTAACAGTTTTTGTGACGAATAATGAATATTAATGAAGATACCATGTCAAGTATTTGATTGAGGGCATTGCTTGTCATACAATGCTCGTACAATGTATGTGCTGATGCACGGCCTGCACAAAGAGATGACATCTCACCTATGTGTAAAATTTATTCTTTTCAGACGAATATGCATATTCATAAATTCTCCAACCGACATACGAGAGAAAGTCTATGCAGCGGGTATAGGCATACTGCTCGTTGACTGCGTGTGCTTGTGCATGATGCAATTAAATGGATGATGACAAAGTTGTTCACGAGGAAATACAGTGAAATATTATTCTAACAAGTATCAGTACAAAACAAGAGTGGTCAAAAAGGATATTGGCATCCAACAGAGACTTATACAGTATGCTAATAAAATAAAATAAAAAATGTTTAAAATATATGAAAAAATTATACTATGTTAAGATAACTACAGAACACGTTTCTGGTAATAGATCATGTAAATAATTGACTCTAAAGAAATTCTTACTAAACAAAATAAAAATATTGCCGAACGTTTTTTTTTGAAAAAAAGCTACTATATCTCGTTGTAATTGTAAGCCGAACAAATTCATAAAAATTACAATAATTTTGAAAACATACGATTTATTTTACTTTGGATATAATACATACTAAAACGTATACCTTGAAAGTCAATAAATGAAAGTATAGTGCAAAACATTATGCGTGAAAAACGTCTAAAAGAATGCTGATATAAAACAAGCGTAAAATAACAATATAATACAAAAACATAGTTAAGGAGACTTTGAGTATGAGTCAGCATAACTGGACAAGGGCAGCAGAGACCCCCCATACAACGTCCACGTCACTTCCTGTAATGTTACAATGTACGTAACAACATTACCAAGGACAAGCGTGTGAATGCTGGAGGCTAATGGGCTTTATTTCTTTTTTTTGTTCCTTTTTTTTCTATTGCAGATCTTGGGAAAATAACTGCCACAAACCGTACACACGCACGCGAGTAATATTACGACAGATGATGATAACTACCATGTGAAGTTTTTCCCTTCCTATCGACTTGTTTACATGCGTTCTGGTATACAGCAGTATACCTAGTTCATGCAATATGTGTTGGTTTGTGAAACGGAAAACGGAATATAGCAAATGGTGATTAAAATAAACAAATATTTTTGACTTAAGAATATTGACACTACCTACTTTGGTTTCGTTTATTTACTACACACCACGTCTGAGTATAATTGATTTGAATGAACAAAGATGGATTTTTGACTTAATGCTTTTGCATTGTTTAGTTTGGTTTTGTTACATGTAAATGAACAAATATCGATGTTTGACTAAAGACTATTGCCATAGCTTTGGCTTTGTTTTACTTACTACACACCAAGTCATGTTCATGATGTTTGGTGTGACCAGTGTTACCATTGAACCAAATTTTGTACCATCGAGAATCAGTAATTAATGAAATACATGTAACAACTGTCTTGGCTTGACAGTTTCGTATGATGTAGACGGGGAAATCGCAATCCTGAATCAAGATTTTTGAAGTTAAATACAAGGCGTTGCCAAATGCTTATATCAAATTTTAAATATCGTATCAGTTCAGATGTGATTATTTTTGGCACATATTTCATATACCGTAAAAAATCAGTTTTAATGGTGAACAAACTGCACCTCGTTATCAAGGGCACATCTAACCTGTGACAATATTGATGATGTGACCCTATTAACGCTCCCACAAGTGATGACAGGATTGGGGATGTGTTCAAAATTAATGCTTGTGTGACCTTTCTTTATTAAGGTGGAGAAAGACTGGTTAATATTTGACTAGCAAAAACGGGAATTAGCCTGTAAAGTGTGACAGAAATGATAATCCTCCGAGAAACCTGTTATATGCTGACTTTCCTTTTGTTTTCGTGTCTCGCTATTGTGGTCTTTTTGTGTAATTTCCCATCTCCGATTGCGTGTCTGTACTAATTGAATTTGTGTAAAAGTTTCACACCGTCCTAATACAAATATGACTTGATTTGTCTAATATTCGATATAGTAAAAAGGCTACCCATTTCCAAGTGTCAGTCACATTTTATTAGGTTGAGTGATTTCAGACTGTCGTTAAGTCTAAGTAATTATGTTTCCGTTTAGCATGCTTCGCTATTCTATTATGATAATAATACATTACTTAATTTAGACATTGATAACATATTAAGACATTCGTCTAGTTTACAATACGGCCCTGCAAGGTTAAGAAAGAAGCCCACCGGAGTGTACAGAATTATATTGAGCGATGACAGGATTACGTAAACTTGCGGTCTACTGCCTGAGACGCCTATCTAATCCAACTTGCACATTTAAGTATGAAATATCGCATTTCAAAGGCCAATTGATATTCCAGAAGGTCGTGGAGTAGCAGTGCACCAAGTTTAATCACATCAGTTTTGAAAAGTATGCCAAAGTGAATATTTCGAGTTTAAATACAGATATATAGAGAACAAATAATCCATATTGTCTTTGATCAAACCAGCAATACGTTGTTGTTTTATATGGGCGTGGTAATACACTGAGGGCGTACAAATAAGTGTATAGGTGAATAAAAGGAGAAAGAGACTTTGATATATGATGGTGGTAAGTGCCATGAAAAAGGAAACAAGTGCCATTATATAGAGGTTTTACTGTTTATACACGAGGGAAATAAAATAGCAGTTTTACTGTATATAAACAAGGGATATTGAATAGACTTTTATCTTGCATAAGTGTGTCACATAAAATCACAATTTAACTGCGTATCAGAAATACATCCTGGTGTTTTTGACAGGAAGTGTGACACATGTTCTAGACGATATGAGACTTCCCTGGCCACGTTAAATAAACACATATACAGATTTGACAACTGATCATTTCGGCTGGTATATAATTGAATACATTGAAAATATATCCCCAATTGCCCCATGATCATATCATTTTATATTGCGACGTTTCGATCAACAATATTGACAGGACCGACTAACTTTGATGTCGATGTTTTTGCACTGACTTTAAGGTTGTACTGCAAGAAATGACAGGACAACTCCTATCTTGAATGGGTCACAAAAGACCGAATTCAGCCATGACATATTGGCGAGACCCTGTAACATGTCCTTATCATGTTGCGTAGGCCTACGGGAGCATATAGTCACGTTACCAACACAACGGCAGGACCGTATCTATGGTAATAGGTCC